GTATTGTCTAAGTCGAGTTTCAAGCTTTTCATGGTAGCCCCTTTGGCCTGTGCACCTGTCTCCATCTTGCCTTCTTCCTTAAGGCCTCTTTGTCTCAAATTCTTTGTCTTTCCAGAAGCTTTCTCAGTAGCCACGCTCCACCAATGAAGCCATTGGGAACTCAAGGCTGTGCCAGAGCCTCCCGTCTTCAGCTGGTCCAACCTCTGCTGTCGTAGCCATCTTGCTGCTAACCCTGAGTGCACGCTGTCCCCCCTTCTCTGCCTTCTGCCTACACATGTCCTCTGCCTCCTTCTCTTTAATTTTGAAATTACATCTGACCATAGTGTCCCAGCCATGTTCCCCCACCCCCACCCACCCTTGTTTGTTTTTAAAACAAGGTCTCATAGCTCAGGCTGGCCTTGAACTCCACTGTGGAGCTGAAGGTGACCTTGAACTCCTAATCCTAACTGGCCTTTTCCCCATCCTGTTCTAAATAGTAATTGTTTCTAAACTGCTGTGTTGGTGGGGATACTGATGATCAATACAGGACATCCCTTTTTTTTTTTTTTAATCTTCTGAGACAAATGTGAGACCAAAACATTGTCCCCATGACTCTGGTTTAACACAGAGTCTCACACCTTGTAGTCCTGGCTGGTTTGGAATGCCCACATAGAACAGAGTGACCTTGAACTCACAGGGAGATGCCTCCCTCAAGACACAGATGGATCTTCAAGACAGTAGCAGTGGGGCAGGATGAGAGAAGCTTAGTGGTAGTCTCTAGTATACAGTCGATCAGGTGCTAGGGTATCAGAGAGGGCTTCCTGGAGGAGGGGGCATGTGAGCTAAGACCATGATAAACTGTTTCCAAAAGGCCCTGATTAAGATATAACTTAAAACAGAAAGGCCTGGGGAGCGTGGCTCAGTGGTAGAGCTCCTGTCTAGAATCCTCCAGTGAGGAGCTGGGGGTGTGGCTCAGTGGTAGAGCCCCTGCCTAGAATCCCCCAGTGAGGGGCTGGGGGCGTGGCTCAGTGGTAGAGCCCCTGCCTAGAATCCCCCAGTGAGGGGCTGGGGGCGTGGCTCAGTGGTAGAGCCCCTGCCTAGAATCCCCCAGTGAGGGGCTGGGGGCGTGGCTCAGTGGTAGAGCCCCTGCCTAGAATCCCCCAGTGAGGGGCTGGGGGCGTGGCTCAGTGGTAGAGCCCCTGCCTAGAATCCCCCAGTGAGGGGCTGGGGGCGTGGCTCAGTGGTAGAGCCCCTGCCTAGAATCCCCCAGTGAGGGGCTGGGGGCGTGGCTCAGTGGTAGAGCCCCTGCCTAGAATCCCCCAGTGAGGGGCTGGGGGCGTGGCTCAGTGGTAGAGCCCCTGCCTAGAATCCCCCAGTGAGGGGCTGGGGGCGTGGCTCAGTGGTAGAGCTCTTGTGGTGAGCATGTGTCTAGCATGCAGGAGGTCTGGGATTCCACCTCCAGTACTGGTGAAGAGAGAGAGAGAAACAGGATACCACATGTTTATGATAATAAAAAGACAGTGTCAAGTAACCTTATTCCAAGCAGTGTTTTTGAGACACCTGCTGTGTCACACCAGGTGCTAGAGACACACTTGCCACCCAGCAGCTCTCCTTCCTCCCATAAGCCTCAGTCCAGCTGGAATGCAGCCTGTAAGCCCCAGGGAAATGGGGTCAGAGTGGAACCAGAAAGCCAGCACTGTGCCTGGTGACGTTAGGCCGGTGGCTTCACCTCTGAGTCTGTTTCCTCCCCTGTGACACAGACGGCAATCTTCCTGGGGCTGTTTTTAGGATTCAACAGGGTATGGCACACAGAGTCTTTGTCATGGTGCCTGGAATGTTCCAGGTGCTCAGTAAACAGGAACCTTGATTAATCATCTCCTCCCCTGGGAGAAAACAGCCCTTCCTGGATCCCATGCTGCTCTACACCCTGACTCCCTGCTTAGCACCTGGCTCCCTCCAGTTTGCTATCTGCTGGAGAGCTGGAAGGAAACATGCCCTTGACCCCGGGGGCCATGCAGGGTGAGCACACAGCTTCCTTCCCTGGAGATGACCTCCTCTCGCAGTTCACGCTAAGGGCTACCTCGGGCCACCACGGGTGCATGGGTGTGTAAGCACGCATACACCCCTGAATCAGAGGTGAAGCATCGTGATTCCACTGATTGAAGCCTGCCTGTGTACGTTTCATTTTGAGCAGTGCTGGGGTCAGGTCCAGAGCCCAGTGTTGCTGGGTCTTCACGCCCCTGCAGTTCTCTGGTTTTCTGTTGCCCTCACTCTCCCTCCACCCCCAGCGCGTCCCCTTCCCGTCCGTCCGTCTGTCGTTTTCATTCCACCATTCTTCTGTAGTCTTTCTTTTGTTCATCACATTCATTTGTGTTCAGGTCCGATTACAGCTTCTGGGACTTGGTTCTCCCCTTCCACTGTGTGGGTTCTAGGGATCGAACTGAAGTCTTCAGTTTGTCACCATCAGCCCCCTCCCGCCGCCCCAGCCATTTTGCTGGCCCCAATTTTTGTTATTCTGAACTAGGGTCCCAGCTAGGTGTAGTGGTGCACGCCTGTAATCCCAACACTCAGGACACGGAGGTGGGTGATCTTCATGAGTTCAAGGCCAGCCTGGTCTACATAGTTCTAGGACTACACAGAGAAGCCCTGTCATTATTTATTTACTTTTGAAGCAGGGTCTCACTGTGTCACTCTGGCCAGCCTGGATATGCAGACCAGGCTGGCCTTGAATTCACAGGGTCTGACTGCCAAGTGTTGGGATCCAAAGTGTGTGCTATGCCCTGCATGAGATTTTATTTTTTTTAACTCATGTATCCAGGGGTGGAGGATGCTCATGAGGTCGGTACCTATGTATATATAATGAGACGACCCGTAGTCTGTAAGGTTAAGATATCTTTATTCAGGTAAACAGCAGCTAAACGCAAGCCAGAGTGTGTCAGGGACAGCAAGGCAGGCAGGCTAGAGAGAGAGAGAGAGCCCCCTTAGAGGGGGTGTGCCTTGCAACCCCTTAGAGACCTCACCTTGACTATGCCCTGACAGGCATGGTCAGGCACACCTGGAGCCAGCCCTTAGGAGGCATGGTTACGGTGTCTCCCTACACCTGTAAAGACCAGAAAAGGGTGTCTGATCGTCCGAAGGAGTTACAGGAAGCTGTGAACTGCCCTAGGGGGTATCCAGTGTGGGTAATTGGGGTCGTCCATAAGAACAGTACACATTTAGCGTCTGAGCCATCTCTCTAGCCCCCCTGTGTTTCTTTTGAGGTCTCTTTGTCTCCCTGTTAGTCCAAGTAGATGTAGGTCTTCTGTAGTGATGTTCAGAGGACCTGGTTTCAGTTCCCAGCACCCATGTGACGTTACACAACCATCCGTAAACTCCAGTTTCAGTTTCAGGGGAGTCGGTGTCTTTTTCTGACCTCCATGGATGGGCCCCAGATACATGTAGGCAAAAGCTTGATAAATATAAACAAGTCTAGAAGTTTCTATAAAGATCTGCTCTAGTAACAAATTGCCCCCAAGTCTGAATGACTGAGAGCAACAGCAAAAGTTTCCTTTTGTGCACGCTACACAACAAATTAGCTATGGTTGCGGGCTGCGGGTCCTGCTCTGTGCTGTCCCCGCTTAGGGGCCAAGGCCTGTTCCCTTGCCCAACTCCTTACCTCCAATATGGAGCTGAGCGTGGAGCATCTGAATTGGCTCTGAAGCCTCCCCCTGGAAGTAACACTTGTAGTCACACTGGCACAACAAGCCATTAACCTCAGTTGAAGAGGACAAGGGGGGCCGGAGAGGTGGCTCTGCAGTTAAGAGCTCTGATGGCTCTTCCAGAGGACCCAGGTTCAGTTCCCAGACCCACATGGCAACTCACACCTGTGTGTAACTCCAGGACCCAACACCCTCACACAGACATACATACAGGCAAAACACCAATAAAATAAAAATAAATGAAAGAAAAAAAAAACCAAAACAGAAGACAAGGGTCTGTCAGGAAGGGGACAAACCAGAGCCGCTGGTGACCAGCACTCTCTCTGTTGGCCTCTTTCATTTTTGTCACCTCTGTCTCTCTCTCTCTCTGTGGTTGGTCTCCATCACCTTTGTCACCCATCTCTCTCTGTGGTTGGTCTCCATCACCTTTGTCATCTGTCTCTCTCTGTGGTTGGTCTCCATCACCTTTTCACCTGTCTCTCTCTGTGGTTGGTCTCCATCACCTTTGTCACCTGTCTCTCTGTAGTTGGTCTCCATCACCTTTGTCTCCTGTCTCTCTCTCTGTGGTTGGCCTCCCTCCCCTTTGTCACCTGTCTCTCTCTCTCTGTGGTTGGCCTCCCTCCCCTTTGTCACCTGTCTCTCTCTCTCTGTGGTTGGCCTCCCTCCCCTTTGTCACCTGTCTCTCTCTCTCTGTGGTTGGCCTCCCTCCCCTTTGTCACCTGTCTCTCTCTCTCTGTGGTTGGCCTCCCTCCCCTTTGTCACCTGTCTCTCTCTCTCTGTGGTTGGCCTCCCTCCCCTTTGTCACCTGTCTCTCTCTCTCTGTGGTTGGCCTCCCTCCCCTTTGTCACCTGTCTCTCTCTCTCTGTGGTTGGCCTCCCTCCCCTTTGTCACCTGTCTCTCTCTCTCTGTGGTTGGCCTCCCTCCCCTTTGTCACCTGTCTCTCTCTCTCTGTGGTTGGCCTCCCTCCCCTTTGTCACCTGTCTCTCTCTCTCTGTGGTTGGCCTCCCTCCCCTTTGTCACCTGTCTCTCTCTCTCTGTGGTTGGCCTCCCTCCCCTTTGTCACCTGTCTCTCTCTCTCTGTGGTTGGCCTCCCTCCCCTTTGTCACCTGTCTCTCTCTCTCTGTGGTTGGTCTCCATCACCTTTGTCATCTGTCTCTCTCTGTGGTTGGTCTCTATCACCTTTGTCACCTGTCTCTCTCTCTGTGGTTGGTCTCCATCGCCTTTGTCACCTGTCACTCTCTGTGGTTGGTCTCCATCACCTTTGTCACCTGTCTCTCTCTGTGGTTGGTCTCCATCACCTTTGTCATCTGTCTCTCTGTGGTTGGCCTCCATTGCCTTTGTCACCTGTCTCTCTCTGTGGTTGGCCTCCATTGCCTTTGTCACCTATATCTCTCTGTGGTTTCCTCCAATTCTGACCTTATTTAGAGGCAGAGGCTTGGCTTCCATGTTTGGTGACTTTAGTAATTAGGGTGGACTGGATTTTGGTGATTGCTACAGTAACCACACCTGGCCTATCCCATCCTTCCTCATATGACAAAGACACAGAGACAGAACAAAGAAAGTAATAGAGGCACCTCTTCCCCACTGGGTGGTCTCATGATCGCTGGACTTAGCTTGGGGACCATGATCCCATGAAGCCCCCAGGACAGTAACTCTGTCTGACCCATACCTCATGCTCACCCTCCCTACAGAGCAAGCCCTGGAAGAAGCTGAAGTCAG